CAAAAAATCCTGTTTATGCTAATCTGCAATTCTGATGTTCCAGCCTCCTGCAGGCAAAGGCAGATCGAGAAAGCAAACCCTGTTGAAGCAAAGTGATGGGAAGGGTACAGGAAACTGAGGCAAGGGGGATTCAGGAGGCATTTTAATACCTGAAGATGGTATAAAGTTCATTGTCTGACTTTTAATTGCAGAAATTACAGAAAAATACTGAACTTTAGTGGCTTCAGTAAGCAGAAAAGTGTGTCTTAAATGTCTATAAGGAATACTTCAGTGGTTTAAGCTGAGTAGGTGCAAAGCAACTCAGAAAAGCAGAGATCACTACTAATTTAAAAAAAGAAATATTTGCTTTTATTTGATATTTTTTATTATCTATTGAACTATCCTGAAGGACTCATGACTCAGAAATGCAGCACTACAGGCCCAGATCCTGGAGATGCAATAACAGAGCTGCTATCACGCGAGAGTGTGAAACAAAGAGCCGGCATTAGCAGAGCTCTGCACATCCCATTTGGCCTCCTGGAAAACATCTGCCGTTTGTCAGGACTACAAAGCCAGCAGAGCCCTCTCCCCCTTGATCTCCAGCAATTAGTGAAATTCTGTTGTGCTAATTACCTGGGGAGACAACGTGGAGAAGGCAGATAGCGAGTGACACTTGAAGGGCAACATTTACACCAGTAAAAATTAGGCAGATATTTCAAGTCACTGGAAACCACAAAAAGTACTGTGCCAGACTTCCAGAGCAAGCTGGGGAACGCTGATCTCTGGGTATAAAGTTAGGGTAAACACTAAAATAATACTACTACTAATAATAAAAATAAAATCATATAAATGATACAAGCAAGAGAGTCTCTGGAGTTGCTGAGTCTGCAGGGGTAGGGAGGGTTTTAAAGGATTGTCTCCCCCAAAGTACACATGGTTTGAATTGCTGAGAAGTGGAGCAATCCGCCGTCCTGCCGGCTGGAGCACCACTGCGCTCCTCCTGCTGCCAAGCCATTATTGGGAAATATTTGTCACATATTAACTGGAACATCAGATTACTACACTCGACATTTAACACTGGTTTAGAATATACACATACATTCAAAAGTGTATGACACCGTCCCAGTGTGAACTCGAGATGAAGGCAGGGATGTGCCCCGTCCAGCAGCCAGGAAATTTGGAGTTCAGGCTCAGGAGGTGCTGTTAAATAAAAAGGCACGTGGAAACACAAGGCGTAGGTTGAAATACGCAGTGTGAGAGCAGCCAACAGAGCTGGAGCTTTTCACACCCTCAGTCCACAACACAGCAAGGACCAGCTGCTGGGCAAGGCATGCTCTGTGGACTGGGGCTGGTTTTTGCTCATTTTTACTGGATTGAAGAGGAAAATTTGTTCTCAGGCTCTAGCAGGGTGCATCCAGCACCTTGAGCTCTTGTGGGACCTTCTCACAGAGCTTAGAGACTTTTGGCGTGGCAAATACTGCATTTAACAAGAGCCTTTTGCACCTCAGGTTTTAAAAGACTGCATTGAAAATATAAGGTGGAAAAAATAAAAAAGAATCCTTAAAAAAACCATGTATGAAAAGGCATCCAATGCTCACACAACTGATAAACAAAGCGTTTACAAGCACGAAGTTTTAGTCTTGCCTTCAACCAAGTGCTTATCAGCTGAAGGCTGTCCTAAATGCCATATACACAAGTGTTCCTGCACCTGCTGGGTCTCATCCTGCAGCAAAGGCTGCGTGAGGATCCCATCAGAGAAAGAGGATGAACATGAGGGGATGAGGGGCCTCTGCAAAGTATTACAGGCCTGGCTTAGGGAATGACAATAATACAAATACTGCACTGCTGTTTCCCAGTGAGACAATGTATGGGGACAGCCTGTCCTGGCCCTGCCCGGTGCCCACAGCATGGAACTGCTGCCACCCTGTCCCAAATAGCTCAGGGGACTGAAAGGCCGTATTTGTCCCCAGAGTGGGGTCACCAGCCCATCACAGCATTCCAGAGCCTGACCCACACTTGGTCCAGCTGCCCCAGCCCCCCAAGGATGCTCTTCTCTCCCTCAGTCACAAAAATGCCCAAACCACAGAGGACCCAAAGTGACACAAAGCTGTTGTCATCATCCCCCCCTCCTTTTGGTTGAATGAATAAAGCAAAACAAGTCAACTCAAAGCAGCACACAGATGTTCAGAGCAACTACAGAGGCAACTTTTTGCAGCGTGCCCAGCATTAGAGACAGATAGCACTATTTTAAGCTGTTAAAATTTTTTTTAATTATTTTTTTTTTTAAAAATTGTTATTACTTTCAAGGTCAGGTTGGGTAGGGCTCTGAGCAACCAGATCTAGTTGGAGGTGTCCCTGGCTACTGCAGGGAAGTTGGGCTAGATGACTTTAAAAGGTCCCTTTTCCAATCCAAACCGTTCTGTGATTCAATGATTTTTCTTGATGACCGGGATGTCTCCGTGGCCCTGGTGAAACAGCCGGGCCCCCTCTGCCGGCCACCAGCTTCTACTGGCCACTGGCCCCTCTCCACAGCCCTGAAAAGCCCCATTTAGAAGCCAATGAGCTCTGCAGACAAACAGGTGACATAAAGCACAAAATGGGCCAGTTTGTGTTGGGGTTTTCTTTTGGGAGGGGTGGGTATTTGTTTTGTTTGTGTGTTTTACAAGCAGTGATTTAGGATGCTGTAGTCAAAATAATTTGACCCTTATTTAACTCTTAGGTGGATCCTAATCATCGTGTCCCATAAGTCAATTCTACCAAAGCAGTGCCCCAAAAGCAACCTCCACCCCCTCAAATCCAAATGACCCCCCAAACTGACTGACTTCTAGGAAAAAACAGGTCTTATTTAAAACAAGCCCAGCTGGCAGGGCCAGTTCTGAACATGTGGTTTGCTCCTGCCTCTGCCCATGGGTGGGTCTGTGAGGCTGCAAGTCCCCCCTTTCCCAAAGAGGCAGGGAGGGAGGGACCGCCCCAGCATGAGTGCAGACAGAACTCTCACCAACAGCTCGCCAGTGGCTCTCCAGCTCTCTGTAAATCCAGTGGTAAGAAGGAATTCTTAAGCTTAGCAGGGTTTCTGGCAGAGGAAAGCCCCCTTCAGCTCACATGTTCAGGACACCCACCAGATTCCAGCTGCCCCCAGGAAGCAGGAGTGGGGCTGGCACCACCTCCCCATCCCCTCCACGGGGGAATTTTCTTTCCCGCAAGGGCTGTTTTTTCAGTGCACAGAGGCAAATTGAAGCTCAGCTGTTAAGCTTGCATCCTGGGGTAGCCCAGCAGGGAATGCCAGCGAGGGCCTCAAGCTCTCGGGAGTTTTCCAGACCAAGCTCTTTAGGTACAAACCAGGAGACAATTCAGCCTTCTTCAGGAGAAAGAGGGAAAAAAATTAAACACATGTAAAGATTTCTTTGATTTGTTCGAAAATAGCTGAAAGGCTTCAGGACAGTCCAGCAGCACATCCTCGTGTAGCACAGCACTGGGCTCCCTGCAGGATGGGACGTTTCCTACCCACCAGGAAATCACTTCTCCTTCCCTGGGCTCACAAATTACTTTGACGTTACTAATGAGTGTAACGAGTATTACAGCAGCACGTGGGAAAACCTTCCCCTTTCCTCTCTTCCCCCCATCTCCCAAACACAGCAACCAGCAAACCCAGTGACCCAGAACAGAATTGGGACTTTCCTGGACAAAAGGAGCCTCTTCAATCCCAATTGCTTTCCACAGAGCAAAGGAAAAGCCTCTTGACCACTTAGGGACACCAGTAGTGCCCTGATTGCCTAGACCAGGGAAAGACGCAGCCCCAGAGCCCCGTGAGGTGGATGGATTTGTTGTGTATCAAAAGGGAGGAAACTGTTTTGAGTTTGTTTTGAGAGCTGAAAATAAGCAGGATTTGTGTCTCAGCTGATGGGGCTTGTTACCAGGCAGTGAGGCACACAGGGAACCCACAGGAGCCTTCCACTGGAAAAGCAGCGAGTATGTTTAAGAGCATCATTAGTGAAACGTTTCTGAGGTTATTAAACATAATCTCATGGGGGGAAAAAAGTCCATTTCCGAGGTTATTAAACATAATCTTTTGGTAAAAAAAGGTTGGTTTTTTTTTCCTCCTGTGAGTATGGACTAATGCTGCATGTTCCGGCAGGAGTCAGACCCAGGAGGGCAGGAAAAATTGAGCCTGTTCATTTGCCTATCCTGCATCTCCATGTAGCATTTATGGTTTGTTTGTTTTCTTTAAAACTACAGTGGAACTACCTGCTGCTTGCAAGCCCTTGTAACACACCTGTGCATTCTCCCCCATCAAAGCACTGCACATCTTTCACCCATCTTTTGCTACTTCTGTGAAAAGGAAAAAGAAAAGGCTTGAAGTGCCTCAGCTCAAAGCCATTTGCCCCGTTCAGTGTGACAGCAGAGCACTTTACAGAGCATTTCTATAAATGAGGTTCCTTTACAAACTAATCCGAGCTGGTTTTTGTCTCCAAGGAGCATGCACTTCCACAGAAGAAGAGGTTTTTCCGCAGAACAGGAAGTTTTGACGGTTTTAGAAGTTCATTAAACTCTGTGAGGAAATTTAAACAATCGGTGACAGCTTTCCTACAGCAAAAGAAGTTGCTACCCTCTGAAAAGGCAGAGAGGCTGCAGCTTTTAATTATAACACTTCCATTAAGCCCCAGTGATTGTGTTACTACTTCTAAATTGTTTTGGCCCAACACCCAGGACCCACAACCCAGTCAAGCTCTTCTCTCTTTTATTCTTATAGCCAAACGTCGCTTTTGTCCAAACCTCAAGCTCCTTTATCTGTAAACAGGCCAAGGCAAGGCAGTGGGAGAAGTTAACGGTCTCAAGCACAACAGAGTGCTTCAGCTTGAGAAAAAATACTTCATAACACATTTTCCTTGATAAAAAGGAACATATAAAATAGGAGAGGTGGAGCTCAGTGGCCTCAGAGCCTCTTCAGTGGCCTCAGAGCCTGGCTCCCAGGCAGCTCCCAGGCAGTCTGGCGTGGGCTGTGCTGGAATGTTTGCACCTACCTGGGGGGCACATGCAGTCTGAGGGAGCCTCTCTCGCTGTCCTCAGCTTTGCTAGTCCTTCACCCAGTTTCTGTTTGGAGGAGGAATAAAAACAGTCATTTAGAGAGCACATTATGTCTAAATGCAGGCTGTGCACACGTGCCAACAGCCAAGCCATCCAGCACACTCCCTTCCAGGGAAGCGTAATGGTTTCATCCTGTTGCATTCAGCCTCTTTGGATAATAACCCATGCTTTAGTAGCACATAAATATTAAAGATTTCTTAGCAAGTGGCCAGTCTACAGCTCTCATATGGAACAGGCAGAGACTCCTTCTGCACATCCCAAAGTCCCTTTAGCCAAGCTCCATTGGTGGGATTCATCCTGAGCTCCTGTTACAAGTCCTGTGTTCAGTTGTGCCGTGATCTGGCTGATATTGTACTTAAAATTCATGCTCTGTGGAGTATTAGAGGTTTCTTTGGAGAGGGATGAGGAGGGGAAAGACAGTCAAGACTGGAGTGCTCACCCACAACCAGGTCTACCAAAAGCACAGTGTTTCCATCTCCAAGGTGAAAAACTCGTTGATGGGACAACTAGAACTCATAAAAATTCACAAAACTCAAGCAGTGTCTACGTGGCATATTGCAGGCAGATGTGAGCACACTCTGCCTGCTCCCTAAGCCAACCACACTGTTCGTGCCTGTTTCCAGGACACTGCCAAGCCCGAGTTAATGAGCCTTGTTGACAGGTATGTTACATTAACTCCAGCCTAGCACTTCATGGCTGGGGCAGCCCAGCAAGGGTGGGAACAGCTCATCTTCACCCACAGTCCTCACCCTCAGTCCTCCAGGAATGCCCTGTCTTACCTAAAGTACTTGCCAAGAAACAAACCAACAATCTGATAACTGGAGTCCCTACATTTCAAAGAAAGACTATTCAAAGTACCTATTGATTTCAGGGTGTTAAGACTTCAATTTTATACAGCCAATGACCCAGTCTCTGTTCAAATATTTGAACACTGTGGACCATTGAGGAATTAGGCTACCTGTGAATTAGGTTATTTTCCTTTTATTCAGAGGATTAAATAGTTTATCTGTTGCTGAAATCCTATGCATTCCTCTCTAGCTGCTAGGATGTGATGCTAGGAGATCCTGAAAGTATCGATATGGTTTCATAGCACCTCACAAAGCAGTTGTCCTAAGGGCAGTACAAATGCCAGAACAATTCAGCTGCCTTCTGCAAAACACACACCTTCCTTGAGAAAATGTGGCAAAAAATTAGCTAAATGACTTTTCTGACCTGCAGTCTAAATGTCACAGAGTTGCTCAAATTCTATCTGTTTACTTTTAAAGTAATTTGGATGATGAAGATGTTTGAGGAAATGAAAATAAGCTCTTCCATCCTTTTAGTTCCGCAGGCATCACTGGGAACAGCAGAGGAGATCTGAATCCTGGAGCCAGTCCTCTGTTCTCCCATTGAATTGCTCTTGTCATGCAACTGATTAATCTGGACACTGTGGACAATAAATCCTTTGTGAACAAAACGGTCCAGCTTTGTTTACAACAACTGGATGTTTCTATAATCCTCCCGTTAATATTTTCCCTCCAGTGTGAAAACTACACGCTTCGAGCTGGGGCTTTTGACACAGAGCAAGTGGAGATGCTGCCACGTCTGGCCCACGCTGTTGGCAGTGTTTCAGAGGGTATCAAAGCAGGAGCCTGCAGCATGTCCCCCTGATGGGACAGCCAAGGGAAGGGCAAGGTCCTGCCACAGTCAAATGAGCAGTTTCTCCAAAGTTAGAGGGATGCCTGTCACAGAGCCAGAAACTAAATCCTAGTTGTCCAAATTGGTTTTCATTACCTTAACTACACACTCAACCTTCCTTTACTGTTTCCTATCCTCTTATACTTGCCAAACATTTAAACAACACTAACAGGAACCGAGCCAGTGTGTTGATGTTGTGTTTGCTGCTCTTTACACACAGTTCTGCCATAAATTATGCCAGCAAATCACTCGATTGGTATATGGAGTAATGCTTTTTGGGTCATGGCAGAACAAAGGATGCTGGGTCATGCACAGAGAGAGTATGGAGCTTTGGTTTCACTTCTGAAATACTGTGGTAAACTTCAAAGGAGGACCAACACAGAATTTAACAAAAAAACTGACCCCAGGCATCAGTTGATGTTCATGACGATGGAAATATTCTCTCGCTCTCCAGAAACTCCCAAGCACAGAAAGGGCAGGAGTTGCCTGACAAGTGAGCCATCTTATGTTACAGAGTTTGGTCAAGAAACAGACCCTTTCTGAAACTTTACCATAAATTAATAGGTTCATTTGAAATGGTCATTAATAGATAATCACAATCTCTACCATGCATTCTTTGAATTTGTTACTTGATTCAAAATTTGCTCTAGTACTGACAAAAGTTTTGCCATATTAAATATTTCAACAAGCTCACTCTTGCATTAGAAACACAATTATCTGGTTTTACTTTATTTTCCCCTGTACAAACTCCATCTGAGCATTCCCAGTACAAAACAAGCTTTCCACACTTAACTAAATCTCAGCAAGAGGTTGCACATGATCTTACGCAGTGCCACAGAAACCATTCCCATTGCTAAGCACATTTGTTGGAATAATTGGAACAGAACCACTGCCACGACCAGCAGGCTAATTCCTGCCTGGAGAAAAGACGATAACTCGAGTCTGTGACTGCGCCTCACAGGCACCCCTCTGGTCTGGTATTCAGGGGTTTCACAAAAATATTTTTAACATTTCACTTTTATCAAGGCACATCAATGCAACTCCGACAGCAACAAACAGCATGAGGAATTGTCTCCCCATGCCCCCAGCACTGCCTCCATCCCTGCTAACAGCCCTAGAGCTGGTCACAGGGCATCACATACATTTTTGCACGACTGAGGCTTCATGGCTGTCACAGTTTTAATGCAGCACCGTGTTTTGCACCCCAGTCATGCCATTAATGAAATCCCAGTGTAAAACCTTCCCCAGATGTCAGAATCGATCACTTGGGGTGTCCTTGGGTAGCCCCGTAAGCCGTGTTGAATCTTGCTGAACTTTAGGAACTACTGTTTAAACAAATCCAGCAAATCAACTGTGGGATCTTCAAGCATTTCCTATGAGTGATGGAGCCGTCCCTGTCCCCCCGTGCCTGCAAAAAGCCCCAAACCTAAACACCAGAGTCAGGAAAAAGATGATCCTGGAATCAACTAAAACTTCTTCTAGAGATTTGGTTTAGTTACAGAGAAGGGCATCAGTGTGCATAATAGTTCTCCAAGTAGGGGAAATCTTTCAGCACAGAAATATTTATTGAATAATTTCAGAAAACCCTGGGACTGAAAGTTAAGTAACTAGTGGCGGGGTCTCCTCTGCCTGCCGTAAATCAGTTCTGCACTGCCAGACCACAATACGCTGGGAGAGACAGTCCAGATAACAGGGATCATGTTCATAAATTTCTAACAAGGAAATTATGGTCCATTACATCCCAAGATAAATAGTATTTAAGTACTCGGGTTACCTGTGCCAGTGAATAGAATGAGAGGGGAAAGTCGCATGTCCTCAAACCCTGAACTGCCCGCCCTTCACCTGGGGCATTCTGCCTTGTAAACCAGACGGGCACTGCCACGCCTGATTCACGGAAATGGCAGCAAGAAGGGGAAAGTTTGGCAAAAGGGAGGAGAAGCCGGTGACACTGGGAGCGAGCCCCGCGCTCCCCGCGCCGGAGCGGAGCCGGGAGCGCCTTCCCGGTCCTGCGGGCGCTGCCCGCCCTGGCGCCACTCACTCGTGGAAAGCTGCTCCACGCGGGGGCTGCAGCGCATCCAGCAGCGGCCCGTGGGCGGCGGCGCCCCGCTTCCTCCAGCGCGGCCAGCCGGCCCTGCAGCTCGGCCGTCTTGGCGCCAGCAGCAGGCACACGGGCCACGGCGGTGAGCGAGAGCAGGCAGGCACAGTGGCGGAGGTGGCGGTGCCGCCGCGGCCGCGGCCCGCTGCCGCGCCCGCGCTCATCGCGCCGCTCGCGCGGGCTGCGGGGTCCCGCTCGGTTGCGCGCCGCCCGCCGCACCGCGCATCCGCGCCGCCCGTGCGCTGGGGCGGGGCCGGAGCTGCGGAGCGGCCGCTCTCTACGCTCGCCCCGCCGGGCCGGGTCTTAAACGGAGGAAGCGGGGCGTGACGGCTCCCCCGCCGCCCTCCCCCCGCTGGGGAAGGGGGGATGCTCGAGCGCGGCCCGGCCCCCCCATCGCGAAGCCAGATCCACCTCGCTGCCCGGCCCCCCGCGGGGCGCTCCCTCCCGCACACCATTCCGCCGCCCCGCCGGCCCGCGCCCCCAGAGATACCGGTGAGCCCGCGGCGGGGACGGCCAGAGCCGCTGCGGGGTGCGGGGTGGTCTCGGGCGGCCCGCTCCGGTCCCCGCGCCGGTCCCGGTGCGGCAGCGGGGGCGCAGCGCAGCCCGCGGGCCGGGCGCCCTCCAGCGGGATCCCCCCGCCGGGAGCGAGGGAAGGAGGGAGCGCGAAGGATGTGCCCGGCCGCGGGGACACGGAGCCGGGGAGCGGCAGCGCTCCCGGAGAGCGGGACCTGCGAGAGGCGTCACCCGGCCAGGAGGTTTGTGCCTTCTGCGCTACAGCCCGTCTGGACCGCGGTCTGTTTTAGGGAAGAGACCTTACCGGTAACCCCGTGGCGCATTGTAACTCACGATGTTACCGCGCTGAAGTGCCCCATACGCTTTAGGGAGCCCATGAATGAGAGAAACTATGCTCATATATAACACTAAGTATCCCCACACTCTGCCGTGCCTTTTCCTCGCTGTTACAGTGCTTTACAACTCTTAACTTACCCGTAAAACAACCCCTGGTAACTTCATGCCTTACTGCCTGTCTAGACTCTAAGCACATAGCAAGTCCAAACGTACTCTTTGCCCGCTGACCACAGACACTGCCCTAGTAGGAGTAATTCTTACTTCTAGAATAGATGAGTGAAGCATAGGACAGTTAGGAAATGCTGTTATGTCAGTAATGATACCAATGTCAGATTCCAATTAAGTTTGTCAATAAAACACACACATGTGCACAGCTAGACGGCAGTGCTGCATATAGACATGATTTCGTAGCTATTTCCAAAGCAGTTAGCCAGGCAAATCTGTATCGTTTGCTAACAACTATTTCCTGCTC